GGGATGGGGGGCACGGCAGGGCTGGGGACAGGGCAGGGTGGAGGTAGGGCAGGGTTAGAGGGGCAGGGTAGGGCTGGGGGCGTAGGGTAGTCCCAGCAAGGTAGCCCTCTCCTGTTTGGGGTGGCAGGGAAGGGGACCCCACCGTACGTGGTTTCCCAGCTCTCTGCACACCCCAGCCTCATCATTACCCCTCGGGGTACTCACAGGCCGCCATCTTACCCAGCTTCGCCTTCTGCTCCTGGCACCGCTCCACCAGCCTCCGCAGCTCCTGGTATTTGTCCAGGAGGTTTGAGCGGCTGATCTCCAGGGGTGCTTGGAACTCCAGGTTCTGCTCGGCCAGGCTCCGGTTGGTGGCCAGGGCCATCTCCCGTTCCAGCTGCAGGTCCTGGACCTAAGAACAAGACTGGTGACCACCTCCACCACTAACCCCCACCCCCTCCAAGGGCTGGTTTCTGGGTCGAGTCACTCACTATGGGGAAACTGAGGCTACACTCATCACCCACCACCTCAGACAGGCCTGGGCTCAAGCCCTGAGCAGAGCTCCGTTCTGGACACTTCGCTCACTCCTTCCACAGCCTCTGAGGGGAGCACTGCTGGCCACGTAGGAACAGGCCTTCGGTCTGCAATTAGCAAGTGCCACAAAGAGCAAGGTGGCACTTCCGGCCCGACTCCCCGGGCCTGACCACCACGTCCAGCTGCGAGGCCTCGGGAGGCTGCTCCGCTGTTTCTGGCGGTGAAGTCTCGGTGCTCTGGGCTCCGGGAGGCTCGGTGGGGCTCCTGGGCTCAGTTTGGTTTTTAACACATACGTGGACTCACAGAGCCGACATACCAAGAGCTGGGGGCGGTCTGTGACCCCCTTCTCTCCTTGACATTAGGGCCAACTCTGTGGCCACAGCTTCACTTGACCTCTCTGACAGACGGAGAGTCACAGGGTCACAGGAGATAAAGCGCCAAGCTCTTTGCAGATAGAAGTGTCCCCACTCCCACGAGGATGTGACAAGGAGCTGAGAGGGTGGAGTGCCAAGTCGCAGTGGGAACAAGTGACAGGAGACGCCTGCATCTGGGAAGGGCCCCTTGAGGACTTGGAATTGTGGAGGATGGGGACAGACATGGCCCCAGGGGTAGGGGTAGGGAGTAGCCACAGTGGGAGGAGGTGTTGGACTTGGGTGTCTGGGTCCCCAGAAGCTCCAGGGGCTGAATCACAGGACCCTGAGACCCCTCCGCAGGTCCCAGGAACCTAGAGCCTCAGGACTGAGGGGCAGAGGGGGAAAGTGAATCTGTCCCAGACACCCCCAAAATGGCATCCTCCTCACAGGCCTCGGCCCCAGCCGCTGGCCTTCCTGGGGTCTCTCTACCTCAGGGGACTCCAGGGCCAGCCGGTCAATGGTCTCCAGGTCGTTCTGCATCTGCTCCAGCTCCTCCAGGCTCTTGTCCTTCAGGGTCTCCATGTTTCCTGCGACCAGGGAGCGAGAGCCACATGAGGACGGCTCCTCAGGGGAGGGGACCCACAGGCGAGGTCTGCCCCTGCCCACCCAAGCCCTGGTTCCCCGTGATGACATCAGACCACGAGGGCCTGGCCTTCCGTCCACCTCCTAGCCTGGGGGTTTCCCCATGGCCCAAGCCATGGATAATGGGATTTAGGAGAGCTCTTGGCATCGCAAACAGTGCCACAGTTCCTCGAGGTGGGGATGAAGCCCCCAAAGGAACAGAAAGGAAAAGGCAGAGGTCAGTGGCAGACAGACAGACAGAGGTCAGGCGGAGGCTATGTGTGAGCGGTGAGGCCGCCTGCCACGGCTGAGTCCACTTGTGTCTGGGCAGAGAGGAGGCCTTTTATGCCCAGCGGCTGACTGGCTCAGACACCAGGCTCCACGGGTCACCGCTTGCTTTCTGCCGTGTGCCCACCGATGCGGCTTTCCCTCCACGGCCATCCTCCCACGTGCCACCAATCCAGCCCGTCACACACATCCTCACTAGAGCAGAAGAGAATCGCTCAATGGACCGTGAGAGGGAGCAAATCGACCGACCCAGACCGCATGTCGGCTGCGGCAGGCCAGCCAAGAGGCATTGCTGTCCATGTGACAGAGGGGCTGCAGCTAGAGTCCCCCAAGGGAGACACACTCGAGGGATTGGGCTGGAGACAAACCCCAGCACATGCCCCCCTGCTAACGGGAGGGCCATTCCCTCCTGGCCTCTCCCGTCTCCTTCCCTCCTTTTCTAGATATCTGCTACCACCACCATTGAGTGGACCCCAGCTCACAGAGCCGGGGAGGCCAGGGCGGAAATGCCAAGGTTGTAATCACAGTGTGGAAGCAGACTGTCTCTCCTTCCTTTCACAGGGCGGGTGGTGGGTTTGAAGCCTTGACTTGGTGGTTAGCAGTCAGTGCTGTGACTACTGCCTGTAACTACTCCTATCGGCATCTGGTCAACTCCAATGCAGAACGATCCTCGCCTTCCACACGGTTTTCCAAGGCTGTAGATGGTAACGGGAGCAAACTGCTTCACCTTCCTCCCACAGCCGTTCGAATCTGAATCGCCGATCTTTCACTAAACAGCACATTAACCCACTGTACCACCAGGGCTCCCAGGGCTCTGAGATTTGCATAACAGATCTCCAGTGCTGCTCATTTGGTGTGCAAAGGTCACACTAGTCCCTGCAGTTCAGCACTGCAGAATCTGGAGTCCTGACCCTCCCGCCCTGTTGTGTGGCTGGCTTGGCAAGGGTTAAGGACTATGCCAGACATGACTGGCTGGCAGAACCAGCAGAAGCAGGTTCTCAGCTTCCCAGCTCATTCAGACTGGGGTCTCCAGTGGGCTCCCAGAAGATGAGACCTTGACAATCAGCGAGCACATGCCTCCGTGTGTTATGATGGCCTGGCTTCCTCCCTGTGCCCAGTGTAGTTTTAGTAACCGTCGGTGACCTCTCAGTCCGCCGGGTAGCCCCTTCATGCCCCAGTGTGCCCTGTTTTAGACAGTTGACAGCATGCTCACCCCACTGACAAGAGAGCTACTCAAAGCTGTGCGGGCTCACCCAACAAGAGTGGGATACAGCCCCTTCCCCCACCCCGACCCAGAAGGCAGGCCCTCTCCAGCTTCAGGCATGCCCAAGCCCCCAGGGACGCACCTGAAAACACAGGTGCCTTGACCCACCCACAGAGCCCTGGGGTGACAGGTCAGGGTGAGGCCTGAGAACCCTGGTCCTTCCAGAAGCCCCGCCCTGCAGGCTCTGTGACACACGCTATCAGATCACGACTATTAGATTATGGGTCCTGCAAGGCAAGCTGCTCCAGCTCCGCCTCTCCCTGACAAAGGAGGTCTGGAGGGCTCAGGTAAGGCCAGCAGGTGGCACCCTTGTCCACCTCACTCACCTGTTTCCTCACATCTCCCGGTCTAAATGCTGGGCCAGGGGAACAGCAGATGCAACACCTTGAAATCCCGGGGCAGGGATGAGGGAGTAAAGGAACAAACAAGCAACTTTCTCTATTTTCTGTAAACCCTCGTTAAAAAGTCCTTTTTGAGGCCTGGCTATCAGTGCACAGCTCCTTGGGTGCAAATGGTTCGCGCCCCACCGCTAACCAGAATGTTAGGAGAGCAAACTTCCCTGGGGTGATGCACAGGAAAGGCCTGGCGATCTACTTACACAAACCCCCCCACCGTGCAGACCCAGGGGAGAAGCTCTCTGGAATCCGCAACGGGCTGTGTTGCTGCGCCTGCGTTCTCAGTCCCAGCAAGTCTGCAGGAGCGAGCTGAGGAGACGCGGCCAGCACATCCTGCTACGTGGTAGGTGCCTGGGCTCCAGCCAGGACGACCAAGATCCCAGGCCCGCCCTGCCACTTACCAGCCGGGCGACCTGGCATAACCAGGTTAGGGAACCTCCCTGAGCCTCAGGCTCTTCATCTGTAAAATGGGTGTGTTGCCCATTCACAGCACCTCCCTCGCAGGCTGAGTGTGAGGGTCCAACAAGAGAATGCAGGCAAGACAATCAACTGCCACTGCCCGGACCCCTACTCGTGATGACCCCACCCCCTGCCAGAGCAGAACCCTCCTCTACAAGGTTTCCAAGGTCAGTGTCTAGAGGGGGGCTGCCAGACCTTCTCCCCGAGGCAGCTCTGGGAGGACTGGAACCGCCAACCTCTCAGGTATCTGTCTGCATCACCCAGGGATCCCAGTGGAGGCAGGGCACTGGCTTAGCGAGAGGCCTGGCCCAGAGAAGACGCCCATCAAATGCTGGCACTTTCACGACAGCTGTCAGTGCCCGGACCGGCTCTGCTCAGGGAGGGCGCTGCCCAGAATGGGGTGTGCACGTGATGCTCCTGAGCTGAGGGGAGCCTTCGGCCGTGGGCAGCTGGCCAGACGCACCAGCACTGAGCTCAGGACTCCCGTTCACACGCTGGAGGAGTCCTCACATACTGGGGGTCCACGCGTCCAGAGAGCCTCAACCAGACTGGGGGTCCCCAGGACAAGTGCCACAGGCAAGGCAATGCAGCCCAGAGCGGTGACCCTCAGGACTCCTGTTCACTCTGACCCCCGAGGGTTCCCCTCGATAATCTCTGGCATCTGAATGCCCACGCCTGATGCCCCAGGACCGCCCTTAACTCCCCGGGGGTCTGAGGGCTCTGGTGCTCTGCAGCCAGTGAGGATGTACGCCCAGCGCTGGTCCAGCCCGAAATACGCCCTTCCTAAGGAGCCCGGATGTTCCCTGGTACAGATGTCAGCATTCTCTTGGATGCCACCGGGCTGGGCTGGTCCTCATCAGACATAGATTCCCTGCCCCTCTTTTGACCCACCCATGTCTCACAGTAAGCACTGACCGTTGTATCCCGTAAGAAGCCTGGTGGCACATGGTGCAACCAAACTCAGGTTTCTACTTGGAAGTGCCCTGTCCCCTCAGCACCCCCAGGTCAGAGCTTCTGACAGCCACAGTCACAAGTCCTGGCCAGTTCTGTGGAGAGGGAGGTCTGCACCTGACCTTCTGCTCCACCTCCTTTCACCAAGGCGATCAGGCTCAGGGACAGCAAAGGCCTAAATCGCAATGTTCTTGTCATTAAGTAAAAAAGGTGCCTTCTTCTGTGCTCTTGAACACAGGAGCTGGGGATCCCTGAAAGCCACACATCCTCATTTCTCCCAGAAAGAAGGGAGTTCAACACCCTCTCTCAACTTATCCAAACTGTCTCCAGGAACTCAGTTTTCCTTACCTGTAAAATGGGTACACACTCCCTTATGGCTACTTGGCTCTTTCTTTTAAGATCAAAAGCCTTTGCAGACTCTCTTATTATCTAATGCAATCACCTTAGTAAGTACAGACACAGTGCTTATCCATCCCTCCTTAAGGGATGAAATAAAGTCCAGAAAGAAACAGGAAGGGAATTCCCTCAAGTCCTGTTGCTTGTAAAGGTCACATCAGCAGAGGCCCAAGTCCTCGCCCTCCTCCCGGTTTGGGACCTCGGGACCACCTTTGCCGTCTGTCTGCCCCATCTTTTATGCAGTGTGGTCAGAATTGTTAGGAATCGTCCAGATGCAGAGCTGACGGGCCCAGGCAGGCAGGCTGCAGATCCTGCTCCGGCTCAGCCCCACCTGTTGTACAGGCGGCTCCAGTCCCCACCCTGAGGCCCATCTTGTACAATGTACGCGAGCTGCTGGAACCCCCAGGGATTCCTCCTCATTGAGTGCTATCCTGTCAGGTTGAAGCAGGAAGGGCTTCTCTGAGTCTGTTAGCGGAGGTGAGGCCAGGACATTGTGCACAAGGCCCACAGAGCTGTCACAAGGGGAAGCAACCACCCCTGAGGCTGGGCATCCACTACTAGCCACATTCACGTAGCATGAACCACAAACCACCCAGGAGGCCACAGCAGAGAAGGGGCCTGGGATTCGGGGCCCACGGGATTTTGGCCTCAGCCTCTCTGCAGTGTGCCCTGCCGGGACCCCCACCCTGGAGGACGCTGGTGTCTGGAGTTGGGTGTTTGGAGGGGCAGGGGAAGGGGGAGAAGTATGAGGATAAGCAGACAAGGCAGGGAGATCACGTGTCTGTATTCCCAGCACCAAGCAAGGTCCTTGGCACACGGAGATGCCTCACAAAGGGAGGCTGAGAATGAGAGGGAGGGGCAAGTCACAAAGCAGGAGTGCATATCACCACAAACTTGGGATGAGAAGTCTTCCCTATTCCCCGTCTCCACACCACCGTCCACTGCACTGCCCCACCACACTGATGCTTACTGGGCAGTTACTACAGCCCAGCAACTGAGCAAGGCTCCATGTAGAGGAGACAAGGATAAAACGTAAAAACTGTTTAAAAACCAACCTCAGAACCGGAAGAAAACTCATCAAGAGCCCTGCGCTATGGAGACGACACAACCATACTTGTTGAAAGCAAAGAGGTCTTGTAGCACTCACTGGAGAAGATCACCGGTTACAGCCTGCAGGGTGGATTATCCTCTAACACAAACAAAAATCT